CAGGAATTAGAGAGGGATACTGGTCAAAACTGGTTTAAAAACAGAGCTGGATAAGCATTCAAATGTGACACCAACAGAGTCACCTGAGAACAGATGGCACCTGGACTGTGATTCATGCAGGTACCTTCTGCTCTTCCTGTGGGGAAGAAAGGGATTTCCTGCCCTTCTTGCAGTCTTTCCATCTCTGCTGACACAACCTAACAACTAAGAAGCTGATGGCAGAATTACTTTAAAATGGTACAAAACGGGTTACCTCTGTTGATTTTCCACCCATTTCCACACGAAAGACTTACTGAACACACTCACCAGTTTAGCTTTGAGCAGCACAGCATTGCTGCCCCAAAAAGCTGCCTGAAGTAGGATTGCATCCCACTGGCCTTCCCAGAGTGGGTCCTTGCCTCCCAGCCATGCACAGGAAGGGCTGGACTGCTTTGGCAGGGAGCTCCATTACCTCACAGCTCCCAGCAGAGCCCAACAGCCAGTGGCTCCAGGATCTGGACACAGATCATAAAGGCTCTCACAGATATAGCTTATTTCTTTTCACTTTTAGGCTTTCCAGGAATTTGTTCTCCTTGGTTTCATTAACTCTAAAAGGCACTTTTGAGCTTCAAAAAAAAAAAGGGGAAAATGTCAATTTGAAGTTCCTCCTTGGGCCTCATTGAAACAACAAACTATAGGAATGTTGCTATTTTACATTTAAAGCTCTGCAGTGTTATAAAATCATCTCCATTAAATAGCTGCCAGCATCTCTTGGGAAAAAGCATTAAGGGAAACCCAAAACCCTTTTCTTGGGAGTAACCTGACATGTTTTATCCGCTCTGAAATTCCCACAGTACTATACCCACCCTTCCATATGGGCCTCATCCTGCATTAAGGTCTGAATTCCCAGGATCTAGCGTAAAGGTTATTGCCTTAGTAACAGTATTGCTGCCACACAAAGCATCTCTTATCCCCCAGCACATGACAGTTAACTCAGATGTTTATGTAAGATGGGACTCAATAGATCAATTCTGACCTGCTAAACTCTGTTTTGTTGGGAATTTGGAGATCCAAGTCCCTCCAAGCCTACCCAGAAGCAAATTGGTGGGAATCTGCTCCTGCAGGGAGCCACACCACAGGGCTATGTGCTCAGCAAGGCTGCAAGGAAATCATCTCCAACCCCAGTTAATCACTAAAGCAGGATTCTGCTCCACCATCTGTCCCCAGGCCAAGCTCTGACATCTGCCAGACACATCTATTGATAATTTACTATATTTTGGCTGTATCACAAGTCCTCTGCAGATACCTCTAGGTTAGGCAGAGTTAAAGTGAACACGCAGTACACAGAGAGCAGAGTCATTGGCCACATTCATGATAAAAATCACTCCCAGCATAAAAATCAGACTCATTTTCCCTCAGAAGCCTCTGCTTGGGCTTGGAGGTTGGTTTGGTTATTTGTGGGGGTGTTACTTTAACATCACTCTAGACCAAGTGATGGCACAGATCTGTCATGGAAAATAACCCCTTGGCTTTCTAATTTGCTGGTAGAATTCTTGAGAACAGAATTCAGTTCTCAGTCACATTTGTTCAGAAAAAAAAGCTGTTCCCTCACTCAATCAGTGCAGCTGCAAAGTTAGACAAAACCAAGGCTGACTGGAAAAATTAGAACTCACAAACCAACAGCAATTCCCTTGGGAGCCAAGTGGAGAACCCATTTGTGACTGTTCCAATGAAAGACCACACAAACAAAGATGGGATACTTCAAAAAGCCAATCTAGCCTCTGAAATGATGGAAGACATGTGCAAAGTGCTTAATCTAGAAGGAACTGTGTAATCCATCTTTCCACTGGGAGTTAAAGAATCTTTCAGATACAAGAGGAGAGTTAATAACCCCTAAGAATGCGACAAGGTGGAGCTGCTCAGCCTTCCTGAGTGATTCTAATTGCACCGAGCAGGCAGAGAGAACTGCTGAAATTCACTTCACAAATCCCTAAGGTTTGTTTTGGGTAGGAGTAGGTTTTTGTCTCAGGTGATCCCTATACCCATCTGAACAGACACAGATACACATGGATAAACCCATGGCATGTCCCACCTTCTCTTAGAGCACAAGAAGAACAGAAGTATGATGAGAGGCTGAAATCAAATTGTCAAATGACATCTGACAGGAGTCTACCACATTCCTTCAACATCTCAAACTATGGGAATTATCCACACAGTTCACACAGACTGACTGCTGGATGATAAACCATATATTCCCTGAGTAAAATGGAAGGTCAGAGATGTGCTCCAACCTCCAAATACACAGAATAGATGACTAAACAAAAACCCAAACCCTTTAAAACCAGGAGCATTCGAAAGGAACAGGTTTCCCAGATACTCTATGGTCACCCCATCCCTGGAAGTGTTCAAGGCCAGGTTGGATGAGGCTTGGAGCAACCTGGGCTAGTGGAAGATGTCCCTGCCCATGGCATGGGGGTGGAATCATTCCAACCCAAACCATTCTGGAATTCTAAAAATTTCCTATAGTGTCAAACTCAAAACAGCAATTCCTCTGAATTATTTTCTGCTCCAAGCAAAACGGTAGACAAAGCTGAAACAGATGAGTGAACACAAACTTGCTGAGGCCTCACAAGACTGGTTTTAAATAATGAGTCAACTCTATGTGAATAATCACTGGAAATATTAAAACTCATTAATTCAGCTAAAGAAAATTGCTCCCAGAATCGTTACAGGTAAAGTTAACAGACTTGGCATTTCCCAAGATCCATAAAAGGCTTTTGCAGTCGATCTTTCCCCAGTCTTCTATCCACCAGGCTGTTTGCATAATGAATGTGCTCTGTGAGCAGCAGAGCCTTCCTGTAATGAGGTCACACTGAGCACTGTGCTGGTCCCTGCGTGTACATGAGATCAGGGCACTAAACCCACCCCAGCCTTGCTCTGCCCCCCAGATCCACAGCAGCACAGGGCCAGAGGATGTCTGCACAACCCAAAACAACACAGGGAGGGCCTGGTTTGGCCATACCAGGGTTGGATTGCAGTGTGGCTTCAGTTTACAACATGACCAGCATTTTGCAGGGATCCTTCAAGGCTGAACCTAAATCAAACACAATCTCTGGGGACAGAGTGTCAAGGAACTGGCTTTGCCAGTCACTTTCCTCCAGGTAGAGCAGTTTTCCATCATTTTCCCACTCCTGTCCCATCTCCCAGGAGCTCCTGGAGGCCCCAGCTGCTCCAGCACAGTGTTTTGCAGGTGCTGAGCCCCACAAGCAGCGGCCATGGGTGCCACTCTGCCATGTTGACAACTCCAGTGTAACACCAGAGTGCTATTCCCACAAAAGTCTCTGCTGAAACAACACTTTACTTTATCAAGACCAGGAAACTCTAACAAATGCAGTGCCAGGTTTGAAACAGCATCCCAGCTCAGACTTAAGATGTCTATATTAAGAACACCCTACTTTTCCCTGTGCAGCCATAAATCCAGAATCCTATTTAACTGGTCACTGGCAGCTGTAGATGAAACAAGGCCAGGAACAAGAGGCTGAAGTTTTCAAAACTGGGTGACTAATGTCAAGCATAAAGACAATTATTCAGACACAAAAGCAGATTAGGAGTGAGGAACTATTCCTCCAGAGTATTTCAAATATCCTTTTTCTATTTCTTCCTCTCATCAGTAGGTTTAGTTTCAGCACCACACAACACCACTCCCTTAAGGTGAAATAAAACCTGCTATCAGATTTCATGTAGCTCCACCCAATTTACACATTTACCTAAGTAAATAAAAACTATTCTGTATTTTGTCATGGAATACTTAATAGCTCCTAATCTGAACATTAATTGCCCCTGGTTTAAAGCTGGGAGACAAACCCAGTTGTTTCCAGTATGCCAGAAACTGTTGACAAGATGGAGGTTGGGAGGAGCTTTATTTTTTATTTTAGCTTTACAGCATCTCTCTTGGCTTCCAATTACAGGTTATGAGACTGGAGAGCAAAGATATACTAACACTCATACAATTCACATGCCATAACATACTCCCTGGAATTAGCCAAGCTTCACAGCACAGAGATCTTCAGGGCCAACAAAGTCATTAAGGCAAAGCTGGGGGGGAAAGGATTGTATTAAAAACTATCGTATCTCACCATTTCCCTTCGCACGGTTTCTAAAGGACTGTTAGAGATGAGAAAAAAACATCCACAGGGAGAAATGTCCTTATTTGCAGTGTGTTGCCTGCAGCAGTGAGGGCTGACTGTGCATCAGTCAAGAGATCCTTTTCCATCTGGAATTCTCTCACACTACGCAGGCTATCAACACTGCTTTTATTTTTTCTACAAAGGATAAATCTGGGACACAGAGCAGCAACTCTACAACTTTCTGGCTCAATATCAAGTAGGAAAACCAATTGTTCAGACCAAGCCTACAGTCAGGTTAAGAAGCTGGAGGAGAGCAGGAGTTTGAGCACTGCAGTATGTGTTGTGCAGCTAATTCAATATGCTGAGGAAATTGAACAAAAAAAAAGGCTTCACTGACTTAGCCAATATTGCACTTTTAGGAGCTGACAGAAGAGGGAAGAGATCCCTCACGCACAATCCTGTCACAGTATCCACTGGAAGTTACTGTTCCCCTAGTGATGTGTCCTGGAGGAACTACCAAGCTCTTCTAGACAGCTCAGGCTTCATTTCTTCTGCAAGAAATATCAAAACTGAGATTTTATAATCCAACATAACCTCTTCAGGTAAAGGGATTCCCAAAATCTACAATCCCACCCATTGTGTCTAGCAAGGAACATGCTGATACCAAACCACTGAGAGATGAAACATTTCCCTCGGTTACGCTGGCAAAAAGGTTATTACACTTTCCCAAACTTTATTTCTCTTTGGATGTTAAGGATGTGTTAAATATTTAGCAAAGGGGGTGGATATACAGTTTTGAGAGGCAAATCTCATGCTATAGATGGCAAATCTAAATGTCTCTGATCTCCTCTTCAAAGGCTCAGAGCAATGAAAGAGAATTTGACCAGAATATACAGTACAGCAACTGCATCTTAGAGCTGTTATAAGAATATTTCCCAGGAGCTAAGCACAACTTCATTCCTTTTCCATATTTGACTGAATGCATCTTTTCAGAACAAAAAAAAGGGTATAATTTTTTTTACAAAACAGACACAATCTCTTTCACTTTAAATAATGAAAAGCATCTTTTCCATTAAATTTAGAAGGCACAAGAATAACCCTTCATTTATGTAACAGATTAAATGTCTGGCTTTTAATGAAACTCCTTCCTTGTTTCCTAGGCTAAAGCTCTATAGTTTTCCAGTATCACAAGTACTCAGCACAGCTGTTCTGGAAGGTGCTGCTTTGCTTTGCTACACTCAATTAACTCAGACAAGAAACATTAAAACTTCAAAATATAAAACCTGACAGTATTTTTGCTAATAGATAGTGGAGTCCAGGAGAGTCTACAACAGAGGAAGAACTGAGGAGGGAAAAAAAGGCTGAGATTCCTAAAGCTTCTTAGGTACATGCTTAGAGGGGAGGAGAAAAAAAGATTAAGAAATCATTACCTCAAAAGCAATCCTGCAAGAGGAGACACAGGGAATTGGGAGCACCCAGTAAATCCACATGTTGGACTGAAAGAATAACCCAACTTGCTTCTTCCCCATCCAAATTCTTAAAGCATCCAAGGAACAATTGAGGAACACACCCTGCATTGCTCAAGCCTGCTGTGAGGAACAGTTTGGAGCCTCTGGTAGCATTTAACTTGACAAACAATAGTTCCATGCACTAATTAAAGTCAGGAGCTGCTGAAGCAATAACCCTGTGAAGCCCAAGGTGTGCTCAGCATACCTGAGTGACTATTATTTCAGCCCCAGTTAAAACCAATAGGATTCCAAGCTACCTCTGAAATTAAGGATTTCTGTTGTAGTCAACAGAGATCTCCAGATTTCAAAAGACAAAATGTTCTTGTTGTGGTAGCAATATCCATGTTCTTCTTGGAAAACTCACACTCAGTCAATGCACAAGTGTGGTTAGTATAGAAAAATTATATACTTATAAAAACAGAAACAGAAATATGGTTATTACAGAAAAACTAAAAAGTTTGGTATCCTGTGGCTAATTAAAAGACTAGAAAAAACACGTTCACACCTGGAAACCTTCAGGCACATTTTTTGCACTCTGTATCATAAAAATAGTTCTTTTGGGAAATAAATTTTTCCTGCTGGTCTCCACTGCTTTAAATGGATAGAGGCTTTTTCCATCCTAGCCTGATTTGTCCTGCTGCCTCCTCCTGCTTCCACAGAAGGTGTCTGTACACGTCAGGGGTGCTGACTCCACTCCCATATTTATCACTTGAGAAGTGCTTTGGGCTCCAGGACATGCCAAACTTCAGATTCTTAAAGCTGGTGCTCTATCAATTCCCCACACTGGCTCAGCTCCAGCTCTTCACACACTCCAAACATTCATTTAAGGCAAAGATTTTCTTTCGGAATTAGACCACAACCACTGTCATTCCAGCCAAAGCAGCTTTCATCACATCACTACTTGCATTAAGGAGGATGCAATGCCAAATCAAGTCTCTTCCCAACATGGCAGGGAGTCCCCCCAGGCAGTGGTAGGAAGAAATTGTTCTTCCCATATCACTGTATTATGTTTGTAAGAATGAAATATAGTATTTAAGACAGATTCTTACACACCAAATACTGAGAGTATAAACATTTTAATACAGATTCCAAGCATGACTACTCCAAGAACTGCTGGGTAAGCAACAAGGGAAATTAAATAGCAGCACTAGTGCTAAAGTACAATAGCAGCAGCATAAAGAATGATCCAGGAAATATTCTTGAGTTCTCATTTTTCCTTGGCTCCAAGACCAGGCTGGATGGGGCTTGGAGCAACCTGGTCTAGTGGAAGTTCCAACCCCATGGCAGGGGCTGGAATGTGATGAGCTTTAAGGTCCTTTCCACACAAATCATCCTGTGATTCCATGAATTATACTTACCAAAAAGAACAAATTTTCAAGCACTCCTTTTAAAGCCAGAAACAGAAAAAAACCCCCTCCCTATCACATCAAACCTTGGAACAGGTTCACAAAAGCAGCTTGACAATGCTACCTCTGGGAACTGACAGTAAACAAGTGCTTTTTAAATTGATTTATGTCAATACACACATCCTCTCCAAAACAAACATTTAACCAGTCATTTCAAGAGACATTAGAGCTTGCAGCCCCTTGCAGGCAAGCAGGTTAACCCTCCTAGCAAGCACTGCTTATTCTCACCTCTACTAGCCAATCAAGTCACTCAAAAGAAAAGGAGGAGAAACTTCTTTGATGTGTGTTCGCCTGTACTTACAGCCATGGTAAGATGCTGGGGATCCTCCAGACTTGCCATATTCTTGCTCTGAGTAGCTGGTGGACAGGTTGGGCTGACTGGAACCTCTGCCAAAGGTGATCTGGTTGCTTCCCACTCCAGTGGCCACCTGAGCCATTCGTTCTTTGGTCTTCAGGGCTTGGGCCCTCTCTGTCTTGAGTCGCTCATCATCCTTCAGAAGGGACACCAACTGCTTGGATTTCTCCCTCACGTTGATGCCCTGGTCTTTACCATCTCTGTCAATGTACTGAAAATCTTTCAATGTCTGGATAGCAAAAATATTCTCTTTACACTGCTGTGCCACTCTCTCAGAGCCAGTTTTAATCAGGTAATCTAACAGAGTGAGGGCCTTGTACACGTGGCGCCAGTTCTTGCCGTGATCGTTCAGTCGTTTCCAAATCATGCTCATAATTTCAGAAAAGGCCACAACATTGTAAGTCAGATCTGCTATTTCAGTCATTAAGGAGCTGGAAGGCCCCCAGGGGTCATTAGAAGTTGCTTCCCGAACTTTTATTTCGGCCTCTGAGTAATTGTTCACAATGTTCTTCATCTGTCGTCTAATAGACGAAGTCGTCATTTTTATTTCCCTTTTTCCCAAGCAGATTCCAAAACACAAACACCAAAGGGCTATATTTGCTCCTCCAGGAACGTTTCTGCACTGCCAAGGCTCCGTCTCAGTGGCTTATTTGTAACACCTTCCACTACAATCATTTCCTCTCTTCCAGAGAATGACACGAGAAAAGGAAAAAGACCTGAGTGAGAAAAGAAAACAAAGCACATTAGTTGGGTCTGATGGCTCCTCCACAACCAGCAATCTACATGCACTCCTGAGACATTATCTAGAGTTAACTCATGGATTTTCTTCCTGAGTTTCTTCTGATTTTGGAAACAACTCTCTCAACTGCTCTTCTCACCAGAAATGTTAACCATTTCAGACGAAAAACATCAAGTGCTGAGCAAAACCAAAGCAGGAAGACAACAATGGTGATACAAATGTAACATTTTTAAAGCAAGCCGGAAACAACTCCAAGAAACAACTTAGGAATTTTGTTTCCAAAGTCAGAACTCCCTAGAATGTTTAATTACAGCAATTACAGTCCTCACAAAGCTGAGACAAACCCACAGGAGAAATTCCATTACCTTCCCTGTAACACTGACAGCTCCCTTTGTGAGGAATCTGCAAACTGAGAGAACAAGGAAACTTCCTAAAAATCAACCAAGCTATTCCTGAAACCTCAGGTAAGTTTAAAGCACACTCAGCCTCAGGGCAGAGATCCTGAGGCCCCAGGAAGACAATTCAGCCGCAGAACACACACTCCAACTCAAGGTGACCTTTCACGATAAGCACATTAGAAGGAATTCTTTTTCCCAATGCATTTGCTTTGTACATTTGACAACACTCATGAGATCCACAGTTTCTGCTCTGTGTGTCTTTCACACAGCACACAAGAATTTTTAATTATATGAGAATGGAATTGTAAAGCCAAAGTGATTGGCAGGAAAAACCAAGGACAAGCTCTGGAGCTGGAGAGCTGTGTCAGTTATTCAGTTAAGGTCATGATTTAAAGTAAACAGAGGCCTATCAAGCTTTAGAATAAATTACTGGAGCAAAGTGGCAGATTTTGCTGCTACATTAACACAGAACAGTCAAGTCACCAGTTGCATGAACCCTGAGCACTGACTGTACCACACTTGCCACATGAACAGAGATGCCCATTCCAGATGACCTCTAATAATACTTCTTCAAACCCTCCAAAGAATCCACCCTATCCCTTGCAAAAGGCACTGGAGAGAGGAAGGCACAGATTTCCATCTTAACACTGTTATGATTCTTCAAATGACTATGGTGCCATTTGGAATGAAAGCAGAATTCAGGGTGAATTTGGACAACACACAGCTCTAAAATGATTTTTCTTAGCAAAAAGCCATATATATCCTTCCTAGAAAACCATTCTGGACAAGTTAAACTATCACAGATCATGTACAATGACTTACTGTATTTTCTCTTGCTCCACTAAGGTTAATTCTTGGAAGAATAAAAAACTATGATGACATCATGGAAGGTGAACAGAGATCAGCACTAGACTACAGGTAAACTGCATCACCCTGGTGTCCTGCCTGAGATTTAACAGCAGCTGGAAGAAGAGTGTGGACCTGTTGGCAGCTGGCTGGTAGCAACAGCAGTAAAATGGGGCATCTTCTCCTGAGGCATTTACAGGTTTGAGCCTTATAAACCCAAAATTTGGAAGGGCTGATCCTCTCTGAGCAGCCCCAGGTGCTCCCAACTGCTGCTTCACTCCACAAGTTAACACAGTCCAAACCTGTTGGCTCACCTGCCCCTGTGATCACTACCAAATTCATCACTGAGAAAAGGTGAACAACACATCTTCTTATCCTCAACCATTTCTCTTTGTCAAGAGTGGATCAAGGCAACTACACAGCCAAAGCTGAAATCAGTTACCGAGCAGCAGGTGATGTCACTATGGGCACACAGAACGAGGAGCAGGCTGCAGACAGCAGTGGATATGAGTTCCAGGCTAATCATGAACACAACTCCAATCATATGGATCCCAGAGAAGAAAAGACCGAACCCCACATAAGGACTGAGCTTGTCACCCAATCAGAAAAGCAGTAAATAACATGAAAAACCAAAACCAGGAGAATTACAAAATCCTCTAAACCAGCTCAATAAAAAGTCCACCAAGCCAAACATTCTCAAATCCTTGTGGAAAGAGTATGAGAAATGAACAGATATATTCCCTGGCCTTGTGATATCAGCAACTTGGGCATCTTAGAAGCCTACAATGGGCACATTGTGCCTCTACCAACCCCTTTTGGAAGCCACCCGTGACCCCTTTTCACCCTCAGCAGTGGCACAGTGACCACATTGCACAAACAACTGCTTCAGATTATTTTAAACCTCAACATTTATTCCCCAGGCTGTAGGCAGGGACACAGTTTTTAAGAAAGAACAAGTCACCCTGGGCTTGTTTATGTCACTCATGGTTCCACAGAAATTGGCCATGTCCTTCTGAACTGAGGGTCTCCAAGTTCAGCCTGTTGAGAAGCTGCTCTGTATCTGCAATACTTCCTGTCTTTCCAGGCCTGTATTGCACTCCCATTTCTTGAGACACACAGTTCCAAGCACTCTGCATTTCAGACTTGGCAGTAACAGACGTTTAGATCACAACATGGTCATCTACTGCTTAGATTTTTCCATTTAGCAAACACTTCCTAGAAGTCCCTGTGCCTTTGGGGGCTGTTCCCCTCGTCCTGCACAGGAAACCAGAGGCATTTCTCCTCCTTGCGCATTTCATCTGCCACTTTATCCCTCAGCATGTCTCAGGTTTTCATCCTTCCTTTCAATTCAAGACTCATTTCAAATTTGGCTAATTTGCTTCCATTTGGCCACCTCATTAGTTAGTAACAGTCTGGAAAAAGAAGCATTTGCAAGAGCACTGATCTCTGGCAGGACACTTGGCTGGGAATAGCCCTTCCCTGTGAGAACCAACCATGTACTCCTAACCCTGTTTCCTGTCTTTTAACCCACTGTAAATCTATGAAAAACATTCTTGTCTTATGAGAGTTTTATTTCTCTAAAGGCCAAGGGATGAGAGGCCTTACCCAAATACTTTTACAAGTATACTACACTAGCAAGTGCCTCACCTGTGTGTACCTCCCAAGCAAAGAAAAGAAGTTTTATTACTTTACAACTTCATAAGCTTTTGAAAAAAATCATCTTAGTATCTCACATGTAAATCCCCAAAGAATTAATCATTCTCACAGCACAAGCAGACACATGGACCATCAGGGTACAATCTCACATTAATCCCACTGTAAGCCAACACCAAAGCCAGTGGCCTCCCAACCCTTCAACCTTCCTATCTCCCCTTTCTCTTGCATCATTTTTACACAGCAGCACAGTGAAAACATTCAACATAAAGTCTTGTAACCTTTGCTGCATGGTGCACTGTGAGAGGAGTAAGAATGGTCCAGCCCTGCTGTCACTTTTGGAGCTGATTAAATGCAATATAAAGCTGTCAAGATTTAAAAAAAAAAAAAAAAAGTCCCAGAAAGCAAAGAGCCTCCCCCCTTCATTCCCAACCTGCTAGGAAGCTGTGCCCCTGGTTTCAGAGAAGGAACTAAATGAACAAGAGCAGGACCCCAAACTGGAAGCTTTACAAGGTGAAGCTTCTGAAGAGGACTACTAGCAGAGAGTAAGTCTGGAGTAGAGCTTTGGAAAAAACAAACACAGAAGAAAAGACATTGCATTAAGTTAAATGAGCAATTTTCACTCTTCCAGGAAATTAAGTATTTCACTTTCTGTTCTGTAATAGACTCCAACACCATCAATCCATCAACACTGGTTTGATTCTTCACCTCCATATCTTCAAGCCATGAAAACAAAAGCATTTAATGAGAGTCACATTAATGTCTGTTTTTTCTTTTTCTTGATGGGCATGTTTTACTCTTATTCTACTCATAACCTACTAAAGACAACTAATTCTAAACTTCACTTTACTAAAAGCACAGAGGATGACTGGAGTGGAAAGTTGATGGACTTGGTACTCTGTCATGGATGTAGCCAGACCAATATTCAAGGTAACCATTTTGGCAGCAGCAGTAACACTCCCCGAGAGCTCTATAAGCCTTTTGGTACCTGTTTTATACACCCTCTGCTTCCTCCACACACAACAGAAACATTTTCCTTGATTATTACAAGTCCTGAAGCACCACAACAGCCTATTTTCTCAATAAAAAGATCAGAAAGCCAAACATCCCAAAGCAAGGAGCTGTTGCTAACACACAATCAAATACTTACACAGAATGTTTAGAGGGTTTTTTTTTTTCCAGAGACCTCAATGAATTCACTTCTCACAACAAACCACAAGGAAGGACAATGCATTTGCAACTTCAGCAAAAATGGGAGTTTGCAATTTTAACAGCAGAGTTGCAAAGAAAGCAGAAAGTAAGAGCTGATTAAAGCTGCTGTTCCTTGCTAACAGGAAAAAGGCCATGAGCTTGTGCAGATTCCTGTGAAAGGTTACACAGAGAGGGAAGAAGGACCTTCAGTCTTGTTCAGTCTGCGTGAGCCTTCCCCATTTTCCTCCCTGGTCCCTACAAGCTATTTCTCTGGTTTATAATAGCTTGTCATCTTTAAATAGAAAATCAAACAAGCCTGTAGCCAGGGAGGTGAAGCTTACCAGTGCTACCAAGGGTAACCTGGAGGGAACACTCCACTGCCTTGTCCCTATTTTCTTACACAGTGAATTCTCATGTTGCTTTTCTAGATACAAAGTGCAGGCAGAAGGAATTCTTGACTGAACTTCCCCATAGCTCCCTCACAAGAGATTCAACTGAGTAAATGAATCTGCATGAGGAAACCATCTTTAACTTGCTGAGACTAACACAGAAACGAGGCCAAGCCACAAAGTCCTTCATAAGCTTAGTTCAAAGAAAACAGCCATACAAATCCACCTATAGACAGGATTCCAGCAGAATCCATTCACATCTCTGGAATGTAAAACTCCAACCAGGGTTTGTCTGCACTGATAAAATGCTCTTCATATCAGCCTGAAGGTAAATATATACATAGTTCAGCTAAGCATGAAGCAGAAATACATGAAAAGTCTTTAACAGCAAGTGTGAAAATGAACATTAAACATGTGAAGTTTAGCAGACATTTGCATACAGTTTTAATCAACAGTATTATAGGTAATACGTATAGTTAGGTTAGACATTTACTGCAAGCAACATGCATAAAAATGAGCTTTTGAAGAGCTATTAATTCAGTCATTCTGTGACTTGGAGGCACAGACGTCTACATAAAAATCTCCCTCCTCTCATGAAATCCATGGAAAGACAGCTACAAGTTTTCGTCCCAAGATTCTTATTGCAATTACACGAAGAGATTATTGTAATCATCACTAAAAATTAGACTCAAACAGCTCCATCAGGTTCTCCAGATCACAGGACAATCCTTGACAGCTGTGCTGGCAACCAAGACCCAAACCCCTGTCCCACGGGGCACAGGCAGTTCTTCTACCAGCACAGCCTCAGTAGCAACAGATCCAAACAGTTCCATCTGGGATATTTCTCCCCACCATCACTCCAAAGGAACCTAAATGAAGCGTAAAGAGCACCAAGAGGCTCTCCTACCCAAGACATGCTGAAGCAGCTGTTGTGAGAAGTTCCACCACGTTACACAGCTGAACATGTGAATTACTGCCTCACCTCCAAGGTGGGACTGCACACAAAGACCTTGAGAGTTGTTCTTCTTACTGGAATGATAGAGGCAGGTGATCCTCAGGGACCTGTATTCCAGGATAAATCAAAAGAACTCTTCTTGCCAGTCTGCAGAGAATGAGGCTAAGAGAACGTGTGGACAGATGCTGAGTAAGGAGGAAGCTCCTCTAGACAGACACCAACACCTCCACAGAGCAAAGAGTACACACTCACACAACCCCAATCCCAAGAAGAAATCAGCTCCTATTATGGCAAAGCAAAAGGATTCCCATTGCCTGACACCAAATCCACATCCCAGTTTTCTTGGGATAGCTCATTATGTGCACAAATCCAAACTCATTGTGCTTCAGAAAGTCTCAAGCCACAAACAAGTCAGAAATCCTTGACAAAACCTGAGCACAAACCTTTATATAAAAATCAGGAATATAATCCAGAAAAAACTTATAGCAAAGACATTTTTCTTATACTGGATCTACACTTGGCTAATTCTCTTTCCTATATTTTCTCCCCTCATCATAAATAATTCTCAAAGAGCCACTGGATGACCAGAGGGTATCATTACACTGCTTAGGATATAACATCCCTCTGCAATACAAACATTGTTCCCAACACCAAACAGGAAGAGGGACAACTGTACATCATGGTCACTTGGAGGAGAGGACTAAGAGAGAAGCAGCAGCTTGGCACTATACATAAAAGCCAACAAGCAGCACACTTATTAGCTCCTCTTTTGCTGTTGTGAAGCAGAGAAAACAGCAATTCATGGGAATAAACCAGCAAAATGAAGACACTGAAATGACCATCAATGCCCTTCCTCAACCTTCCAAATTATTTAGGAAACGAGTTACAAATACAGATTGGCAAAGGGTTTGAAGAACAGGGTTAGCTCCAGAGGAAAGGTTTCATTTCCATTTTTCACAGCTTAAATGCTTGTCTTCTTCAGGGTAATTTCTGAGGAGAGGAAATGGTTCAAAATTCAAAGTTTTGGAAGCTTTCCACTCCCTTTTACAAATGAGAGAACAAGGTCAGCTTTCACAGACAGCAGGTGGCCAAATTATTTCTTTATTTCAAGAGTTAATGCTGAAAGATAATTCTCCTTCAAATTTATGCATATTCATGACTCCCAAGGTTAGATTCTGCAGTGATTTTTCAGTCACACTCACAGAGAGAAAGTAACTCCAGCCTGAATGGCCTTTTAGCCATAGGAGAGATTTACAGACACAAATCTCAGGTTTTTTCCATAACAGCTTTTCTTACCATTTGCCTCCCTTAATAACCAGTATTTGAGCTCAATATGGAGCTCATCTCATGTCATGGAGTGCACAGAAAGGAGGGTGAGGAGCTGAAATCTTTCACCTCACTGCCTAGAACACGGCAGCAGTACATGGACACGTGTTGGGACCTGCCAAGCCAGAGGTGCTGGTGCTTTGCCATCCACAGTTCCATCTGACTTTGCAGCTGGAATTATTGACAGCCTGGGAAGTGGCTGCAAATAAGCTCTGAAGGGCTGTGAGAGGGGACAACAACCTCTGTCAGAGCCCTGCAGATCACTGCTAACGATCCAAATCCGACCTGCACTGGGGAGCTAATTTTAGGATTACAAGCTTTGACAACATCTCTTTAAAAATAACACATTCCTCCTTCCAGGCCTGGGTCAAGTGTCATCCACAGTGCTCCCTGCATTTCAGGTACATCATAGTTGATTTTTCATGCAGCAAGTGCAAGGTGTGCAATGAGTAACAGAATATTGCACTTACAGAACTGTGTGAGGTCAAACCATCAGGCACTGAACCAGAAACTCTAAATGCAAATTAATCCAACAAGGCAGTGAAAATACCTCCCCAAACTCTCAAAAGGAATTTGTTCTCTGGGGATTACCTACTTGAATGAAAGCACTTTTTCTGTTATTCTCACAAATGGAGTAGAAAATAAATCACCCAATGGGTGCCTTAACTAAAAGGCAACAATCTGAAATAAATTCAGTTTACCAGGGATACCTGAGCAGCATTTCCAACTGAATTAAGGACAGCAGGAGACACTTCTCTCCTTCCGTATTTCCATTTTGGAAGGGAAGAGGATATCCGATATTCCAGCCTGAGGATGTGTCTTGGAATCTATTACTAATTAGGAGTCCAGCCTGGTCACTTAGGCACCTGCTCAGGCCCTGACAGATCAGCCTGAACACAGAAGGAACTGCAAATAATATAACCAAAAAACTTGCAAGACCACAAAATGTCAAGCACATTCTTTAAACCTCAGTGTTTTCTTAAAGAATTGCAATTTTTAAAATTCAAAGCTGACAAAGACTGTTACACTCACCCAGATCTGTGCTCATGTACCAGATTCAATATTTTGGGAACATACCTGCTCCTTACAATTGATTTCACTAACTAACTTCATTTTGCACTTGATTAATATGAAGCAGAAATCACTGTGTGCAGTTTCTCCAATCCACCTACACACTGCAGGCATGAAACCACATTAATAAATTCAGCAGGCCAAAGGCAAATGCTCATCATGGTAAAGATTAGGGGAGGGAAAACACAGCTTAACTCTCCACGTTACTACTGGTAGAAGCTGAGACACTAATTAGTACTTTTACTTGAATTAATTACATGAATTTCTAAGGGAAGGGACAGTTCAAGGAACAGTGCAAGATGCAGAGACAAACCTGTCCAAAGCACTATTTTTTCAAATCATACCTGTCCACACATCCAAAACACTATTTTCCCAGCTTGATTAAGTGTACTTCCAGCCAGCACAAACTACAGCCCATACAGAAAATGGAGACTGATTTAATATCCTATTTACATTCACCAATGCCCTTTCATGGCATAAAATTTCCAGAGCCTTCCCTCCCAGCCACCATATCTGCACACTCAGCCTGAAAAGTCAACACAATGTCTTAATTCAGTTACCATAACTTGTAGTAACAGCAGAATACTTTAACCCTCAGAAATGAAGCTACAGGCAGCTCTATGCCCATGGGATTAGACAAAAATTCCTCCCTGTGAGGGTGTTGAGGCACTGGCACAGGTTGCCCAGAGAAGCTGTGGCTGCCCCATGCCTGGAAGTGTTCCAGGCCAGGCTGGATGGGGCTTGGAGTGACTTGGTCCAGTGGAAGGTGTCCCTGTCCAAGGCAGGGGGTGGAATGAGATGAACTTTAAGGTCCCTTCCAACACAAACCACCCCATGATTCTATGACTATAAAATTGCGAAGCAGGAAACATATATCCCCACATCCTCCCTGCCCCCCTGCGGGATGAATGTTTTGGCCAAGCCCCAGGGTTTTACACCAGGCTTTGCTGCTCAGCAGTTGGGCTCAGAGAGGAACTGAGGATATGGATTCATGTTACACTTGATTCTCAGCTGGCCAAGGGCTGCTAGGGAAGGCAGAGTCCTGCTCCGACCTGCAGTCAGACACCACATCCCCAGATGGAATGGGTTCGGTGAGCTGATGTGACACTCCAGGGGAGGCAAGGGGAGAGGCAGGGCTGGGCTTCCGGACAGATCGGGTCACTGAGCCAATTAATCCCAAGGTCACTCTAATTACTTCAAAGTACACCACAAATAAGGGAAGTCACAGTCATTTTAACAGCAATCTACAGGTACAGTTCATGAGGCAGAACATAAAGCTGCACCTTGGAAGCTCAAAAGGTAAAGATGATTTGCTTTAGATTTGGGATTCACTTTCAGCAGGTAACAGTACAAGAATGGTTAACAGAGTGGTTGGGAAATCACCTTTTACTACCCAGTAACACACTGAAGACAGAGAAAATTTGCTCCTCTGCTCTTTCAAAATCAGCATCATAAAATCTTGGCCCTGTCCTTGTTCCACAGTGATTTTAGCTTTCCTTCTTACTCCTTCAGATCCTTTATCCCTGCATACTGTACACACCACACAGGTTCCAAAATGTTTTCCAAACTATCCAACCTCTTTTCCCTCTTCCTACAGTAACACACTGAAGACAGAGAAAATTTGCTCCT